CCGATAAGCGCGCAGGGCAGTGCAAACTAGCGCATCCGCGTTACGGTGATCACGTGAACGCCCGGTCAGCCAACACCGGGAGGAGAAACTCATGACGTCATCGTTCAATCTCGCTCTAAGAAGTAAAAACAAACAAAATGTGAGAATGACGTAGTCATGCCTCTGACGCAGTGGCTCAACGTTTGCCGCTCAAACTTCGTCGCATTGACTGCACTGACGATTGCGCCTCACGTCGCACGCTAGAGTTGGCAGATTTCGGTGACTTGGCTCACTTGAAGGTTTGCTGGCTAGTTTATTAAATATATAGACTGAATTAGAGCGTAATATTTCACATGGGGTCTTCCTATGTGATACTGAAGAGGGCTACATAGTTTTCTAAATATCAAAAATGAAGCGGAGTTGCCTTTTAAGGCAGCTTGCTTTAAGGTCTACCCACTGTTCTCCAATCAGAGCTCAGTGTTCCGACATCACCAGAACCCCTGCAAAACAAGCAGACAAACTTGCGCTCTGCATAAGGTGTTGGAGCTGTGAATAGAGCAGGGGTGGCCAAACTGCGGCTCGCAAGCCACACACTCTTGGCTGGTTCAAATGCGACTCGAGGCCTCACAGGGAAGTGAGGCCCCCTTCCCCTTACAGGATCAGAAAAAAGAATATAAAATAAAAAGCTTTAGTTTTGGCACCCTCATTCCTGCTTGTTTCATGAGCAGGGATGCACAATAAGAAAAACTATTGAGCAGTTGTTACTCCAAGAGCAAATCTTTCTGCCAGAGATGAAAAATTGAAAGAAAAGCTGCCACGCCCCCTTTGTAATGCGGTTCTTCACTTAGAGGGCAACTCTGCTTCAATTTTGTTTTTGAAAAAAACACTGCAGTCCCTTTTTGCCCCTTTCTGTTCGTTTTTACTTCGGGCAAGCGTAATGGGAGGTGTCGTTGCGAATGTCGTCACGCGCCTGCACAGCGCGCTTCTTGGGAGCCGTTTGGCCATCCTGCCATTACCATTGTTTTCCCCGAGTCACAACCGCTGTCGTCGTTTTACTGTCACCGTTTGTGATTATTGTATCTCGGAGTTTCATGCACACTACATGCGCAAACTGTTGTCGCAGTTGTGCAGATGTCATTGAATGTCGTAGACACCAAAACGTGTTGAAGAGTGAGGTGCAGATGACAATTGTGCCTGGCTCACGCCTGCCCCGCGCCCGCCCCAACGGTGGCCCACCGGCCCACCCCCGTCCCGCTAGTCGTTGCACAAAGGATCACATGACATCTCTTACCATGTGATGGACATGTTTTTGGCAGCCCGAAGCCAGTGTTGCCGGACGGAGCTGAAGTTTCGGTTTTTGCTCATGCTGAAAGGTTTAACTACTATATTAAATTTTTCGCAAAGCAAATGACGTAGTGCCTTTTATTAGTGCTTTTTAATGTAAAATTGCTGATTATCTTGATATTTTTGGAATTGAGCGGAGTTGCCCTTTAAAATGGTTCTTTATGGCTGGCCGTTGACATCACACGGAGAGCCAGCTTGGTCATCGTATGCCTTCGTGTTTGTCCTTGGAATGTGGCAACTACTAAAACTAGACGATTGGCAGCAAGACCACCACTGCCGAGACGCCGACGGTTGCGTAAAGACGTCCTCAAAGTTAGCCGTGCCGTTTACACCCTACCAGATCTCTACGTGGTTGCTGTGGACCTTTCCGGCCACGGCCTGTCTTCTCACCGGCCCGCGGGCTGCAGCTACAGCTACCACGAGTACGTCATGGATGTGTGCCGCCTGGTGCACCACCTGGGCTGGCGTTCTTTCGCCATCCTGGGCCATAGCTTCGGCTGCACCGTGGGCATGATGTATGCGGCCCTGTTCCCGGACCGCGTATCCGCCATCGTCGCGTTGGACCTCTACGCACCACTCCACTTGCCCGATGACAGGGTCGCCGAAGACAGCGCCAAGTGCTACGAGGGTTACCTCCGCCTCGAAGCAAAGCTGGGTGACCCGCCGGTCTATACCGAGGCGGAGCTGATGCAGCGGCTAGACGAGGCGACGCTTCGCACGCTCACCGAGGACTCGATGCGGATCCTGCTGAAGAGGGAGACGGCGCCGTGCGGATCGGGGACCCTCCGGGTCACGACGGACCCACTGACCAAGGTCATCAGCACGGTCCAGCTGACGCGGGACTACCAGAGCGTCCTGGTGGGGCGGTTCCGTGGGGACCTGCTCGTGCTGACCGCGTCCCAGGTGGACGGGCGCATCATGCGCGAGAGCATGGGCCACTTCTTCGAGCTGTACCGGCGGTGCTGCCGCCGGTTTGAGCACGCCGAGGTAGAGGGGAACCACTACGTGCACCTTAATCAGCCGGAGAAGGTGGCTCCACTCGTCGAAGCCTTCCTCGGCAGCCTACCGGAGGAGGGCTCTTCATAATTCCGAAACTGCCGCTACCGCTGCTGCTGCATGTTGATGCCGCTTGTGTCGCCCTTTGTCGAATGACGGCACTGCACAATTTCATGGTTGTTTGCCTCTATAATAAAACAAAGTGCTGGCGCTACCCTACTTTTTGTTTCTTCTATTGGGGCAAGCACCACGACTCAACTGCACGGCGTACCAGTGATCCAGTGCTGCCAACCTCAGAGGCCACTTCCCCAAATTATACCCGAAAATTCCCTAGATTTTTGGATGCCTTTGTTCACGAAAATGTTGAGATTAGTTATATTTCAGCTTGAAATAGATGTCGGTAATTCAAAGACCATTTAAAATTTAAAATTTTTTTGCTGGGGCCTTTTACATATTAACATTTGATAATAATCATGCACGTACAGACAACCGAAAATGACTCGCAACGGACTATTTTCATGGGAAAATTAACAAATGGCACCTTGCGCATTCGTCAACACCCGGCTTTAGTTCCTTTAGAAGTTTCTACGGACAGGGAGCATGGCATCTTGGTGTGCCAATCAAAATCAAATTTTTGGGGATTTACGTGCCACAAACAACACCGGGCAAACTTGGTGTTCCAATAATTACTACAAACTTTTTGTATAAATATCCCACAGCTTTAAAAACCTCTTGTGGAATGTCACAAAGAAACGATTTGCACTTTGCACACATTTTTAGAAACAAATACACCTCCCCAGAAAAAAAAAAAAAATCCCTAGGTTTGAACAATTTTCTCCTAAACCACGGGTCTCAAACAAACATGTGGGCCGCATTCGACCCGCTGGGGTACAACCCGCAGGCAACCGGCTGCGAACACCCGCTCCCACGTCTCAAGCACTAGAAATGGCATGCTCTATAAATATTTCATGTTGCCGAATCATTTCTGCTGGACGCGTAGCACTGCTCTTATAACATATTACATATGTTAAACTATTTTGGTTTTCATTTGCCTCGTGTTTCGTTTTAATCTTTGCTTCCGAGCTTTCTTCGCACAAGGACGGACCTCGGCTGCACGAGCTCTAGCTCAGCGGGGGAAAAATAGACAAACCTACAAGTTCGAGATTCTCGCCTTCAAATATTATCACCATTACAATACAAGCTTTTTTTTCCTCCAAACTTAATAAAGCAAAAACTTTTATGAAAAGATTTTTTTGGGACATGTTGAGCTGGAATAATTCCCGAGTAAATTGAGCAACGCGAACGGTAGCGTGCTTGCTCTCTTGTTCTATTAAAAATGGCAGCACATTGATGGGATGGTGCCATTTTAATTCGTGGAATTATATCAGGCAAGGGCCCATATTAGTTCAATACACAAATCAAAGCTAAAGATGTTACTGCCAAACTGAGAGTTTACAAAAAGCAGAGAGCACAAGGTCCCATTAAATCTCTTGACCCCCTCCCTTCCTTGCGTTGGCCCTCAACCTTTCTGGAGTGGGCTATCTGTCCCCCCCACTCGAATGAGTTTGAGACCGCTGTCCTGAACAGTGTCCAAAATCCCCAGATATAAGTCACCAGCATGTCACCCTAGGACTGGCAGTATTGGGTTTTGTGAAACTACTGCTTAGCACCATATTTTCCAGGCTATAGTCCGCACCTTGTATATAGTCTGCAGGGGCAAACTGGGGGTCAAAAATAAAAGTTCTTGCTTAGATAATCTGCATGCCGCGCATAGTCTGCACCTAGTGCTTAGTAGACACGAAAATATACTCCTACACGGCACACCTTGACAAGTGTCTGCTTTCTTAGCTCACGAAGAAGTTTGTATTATACATAAATCATCACTAACAAACTATTTCATTCCCAAAATCCGCCACGTCTCGTCATAACGTACGATCTTGTAAAACAATATTCCTGTATAGTCCGGACGCACAGATTGTCCGCACAGCTTAAAATTTCAACCTTTAAACATGTATAGTCCGCGGACTATAGCCAGGAAAATACGGTATATTGAAAATATTGCGTGAAGTTCAATTTTCTGTCTCAATGCAAGCCCTAGAACCCTGCCATTCGCGACTTCCGTGAATTCGGCTACACCCGGTGGGTAGAACGCAAAGCTATCACGGCAGCTTCGCTCGCCAGCTTTCTTGAGCGGATCGAATATTTGCAGAACCCGACGGTCTAAACGTAGAGTTGTTAAAGCAAACTCACAAACACGGTGGAAATCCTTTGGGCTCCGAGAATAATAAATGAAACGAAATGAAAGTCGCCAGTTCTCTGCCCGATTTCAACAAGGCCCGATTCCAAAGGCTACAAGTACAAGCAGCTAGTTTCGAATGGTGCTCCCACTGCAGTATCGTTTGTGCGGTTGAGGCCCACGGTACGCAGAGCTTGCGTTCGTAGTGCTTGTGGTTAGTCCATGTTAAGGTGAGACAACGTATAGACCAGCATGTTACCAAATACCACAGCAATGTCGTTGCGGTATCGTGCGCCAAGATCGGTGTCAATGTAAGGTTACACTACTTGAGTCTGTTCCTAACTGGCACCCCATGCAGCTGCTTGGGCAGACTGCTCTAGCACACCAATAGCACTTGGTTGTTAAAATGGAGCAGGCTGCCAAAGGCAAAAGGAACTGAGACACATCCTCCGGAGTCTCTTTATATCTTAGCTCGTGCTCGGCGAGCCTACTGCTTTTTGGGCTGCAGAAGGCTTGGGCTGTGGAAGGCTTGCGCAGCAAGCCCTTTGCCCTCTGCTTCCTGTTGTGCCGGCATGCGTTGGCGACCGTGACGACGGTGCAACACCTCAGAGCAGCGGGAATCCCACGGGCGATCCCATGGCACCCTGGGGCACTCCCTGCTGCGGAGTTGCACCAGGCGCACTGCTGGAAAGAAACGCCGTTTTGACACTGTCTCAAGAGGCTGGTGTTCGAGCAACCCTTACCCGGGAAACTGGGCGGGTGGTAGGGACGCCGGATCGTGGTTTCCTTCCGACGGCACGCCATAGACCTGCGGGAAGAGAACGCCGCAAGTATCCTGACTGCACCCGTTTGACCCAGAGCAGCTGACGACGCCGTTGTCGGAAGAAAATGGGCATGGAGATTCTCTGGCACACAAATGTACTGTAGAAAGTTAGGCTATAATAGTTGAAACACAGTTCTGACACTTGATAAGTTGGGCTAGTTGATACATAGTAGTTCTGACGTTGGCTTCTCGACAATTCACGAGAAATAACAAAGGGGTGTTTGGCTCTAACTGATGGGAAAGAACCGAAAAGAGAGTAACGCTACATCCATGAAACCAAGGGTTATGTTTGTTATTTTTTTGGCAGGTGACAGAATCGCCGAGGCCATCGACAATTGCAGATTACAAAATCTTTGTGTTGTGGCCAGTGGTCCTGCCGCGTTTTATACAAGCTCCCAAAACATTTTAGCCGCATCATTTCGTTCGTCAAAAGTCACAACATTCAGCCTTTAAGCCTTTGTCGTGCTAAGACCAAATGGCAATACTTGGCTAAAACCAACTTACACCGCCGACTGCGGTTGGCCAGCGAATATGCGCAAAGGAAATGCTTGTACTACCGGGTTCCGATTTGATTTTTTGTCCCTGGTGTGCCGGTACTTCAGATGACTGCACAAAACACTCTTATAGGCGACTGGAAGCAGGGCTTTAAAATTTAAGGCAGAACACTACGCGAGAATGTCGACTTCTGAACCGCTCACTCAATCAGAGTGAAATTTGCAGGTGTTGTTTGTAGCCATATAGAAATAGGGCATGCAAAGTTTCAGCCCTGTGAACTAATTTTATGAGGTACCATATTCGCAGAATAAAGTAAAGCATAGCTTGGCATGAAATATGCTCAATTAATCTATCATTGAAAATTATGTTGATAACCACATATTTTTCTGGTAGAATGCATACTAGAATATCTGTTGCCGATTACTACGAAAAGAAATCTCACAAAATATGCATTTCCCAACCAAAAAGAATTATTGAAAATACATTTTTTCCCTACATTTAACAAGTTTTGCAAAATACAGTTTTTCATACTAAGGGAACATGAAAATGCAAACTCGTAAGTTTGTAGTAACCGGCACCAAAAACGTTTGGTATATAGAGGCCGCAAAAATTAAGTCGCGATAGTTTCATACAGAAACGATAGATTTATTAAGTAAAATTTATGCCAAAAAGTGCAACGGAGCAAGACGCGTTCAAAGGGCTCAAACCTCCACCTTTTCTTTGGCGTCGGTGGACCGAAAATGCTGTATAAAAATATAACTATGCAGTGTAAACAAATAAAACTTTCTGGGAATACTCTAGATGTTGGCAGACGTAGATATGGCATTTTCATAAATCAAATTCTTTTGCAGAAATATTTTTTTTCTGGGTAGTGTTAAGCTTAAAGTGCTTTCGCGCGGCGAGCTCGCCACGGTGGCAATTTTTCAAACGCGACTCCGATGCGTTGAACTTCAAACACGTCTCTCTTCGGCAATTTACACGCTACGGTTGCTGACAGAATAAGAATGGTGGCGAGCTCTTTTTGAATGCCCGGCGTCCAGCACGCTCTCCACACCTTCCGCACGCACCATTCCGGCCCCGTCGGCGACCACAGCATTCAGTTTGGGTCTAAGTGCTACCCACCATGGGAGGACCGGGGGCGGGTGGCGCCGGTGTCCGCATCAGTCCGTGGTACAGTGCCAGGGCCTCTGCCAGCTGCCGGCTGGCAGCAGTCAGCGAGGCGTGTCGGCGGTCAATGCGCTCGAGCTCCTGCTCGATCAGCGGGCCCATGCCTGCGCAGCGCTCTGCACGCGCAACCACGTAAGACACATCGGTCATGAGTGGTCTTCGGGACTACGGCAGAATCTAGTGTTGAGAAGTATACTTCAAGTACGTTGTGCTTGAAGTACCACTTCAAGGAGGTTTAGAATACTGATGGTATGCATTTTACTTGAAGTACATTCCCAGAGTAGGGTATGTACTTGCACTTAACAAAATTTAAATCCTTCATTCTTGCCTATCCAAATACCTAATAGTTCCTTCTTGCCTCTTTTTTTCTTGATCCCGTGGTCAACCACGGGATGACAACTGTGGAAATAAACTGTCTAAAGCTTCAGCTAGACTTGTATACATTTTTTGGAGTATTCTTTTCTGGTACTTTCTGCGGAAAGTGCAGCTCCCGACTTAAAAGCACATTCCCTGAATTTGATTTTGCTGAATCTGTACCACAATATTATGCTTTGTCAACTCTGAAGTTACTTGACTTTATCCCATATATTCGCCGCCATTTCTGTAAATAACTGAAACACCCCTACTACCCCTGAAACAATGCATAACAGTTATATATTAAAAAAAAAAAAAATTTAAGGGAATGAGAGAACATCACGAAAGCTTGCGTTAAAAAGTACTTGGGCTTTACTTTGAAAGTACACAGTATTAATAGTTAGGGAGACTTTTTTTTTTTGTGCGTTACCACAACTTTGTTTTTACAAAGCAATTACTGGAAGAAAAAAAAAAAAAAGGAGCTGGCAAGCAAAGATAGCAATTAGACATTCAATGGATTCAGTAGTGGCCATTGATAAGTCAAAGTTCTAGCCTACCCTCAAGAGCCAGCAAGTCTGGTGGGTCTGGCTGTCCACTGGCAGGGTCCGTTTCGTGAAGCCGCTGCAGGGTGTCGTCAATCTGGGCCTGCAGTAAAGGAGTAACACTCAGCCGTGGCCATATTTGCTATTTCTGTGTTTATGGTACTGCTTACCCTAAGACCCATGCTTAAAAGGTTCCAGCCAGAGTCCTATACACTGAAAGACTGAAAAGTCTACTAGAACGAGCAGACTTCACATTGCCACACTATGGAGGTATTTATTTTCTCTTGGTCACACCACTCTGCGTGCACTAGTACAAACTCGCAATGAGAAGTTGTTTTATAAACACAATTTTTTGTACTCTGACATTTTGTTATTCCCGAAATTCGCCACTGTATCCAAGCACCAGTAATTCTTTAGTGATCTCTAGAAACAGAACCTATCTATTTTTTTAGTTGGTTTTAAACAAAATCATGCTTTCCCATACACCAGAGAACTGGCAATCGAGTGCACAGGTTTGCAGTGCCTCTCCTAGATGGCGCCCGTCGTGGCACTGGATTTTGGCGGTGGTCCCTTTTAAGACATAATATTGGAAGTATCGAAAGTTCACTTTTGACAAAAGGAGTGAATTCAAGATTATATACTTTTAGGAGACTGTAGCAGAAAAGTAAGTTTGAGCTGTTGACTCTGTGTGTGCAGTAGTGTCATGATCCTCCTTGTGTGCATGCTTGAGTTTTAAGGCAATCTTCCATTCATACTGTTCGCAACTGCCGGTAGCCAGTGGCAAATCAAATAAGAGGGAGAGGGCACATGGGACCTAAAGAGGAAAGACAAGGAAACTGAAAGATAAAACAAAGCTTGGGATGGTATGACTTTGTGAGAAGTGAACGCAAGCAAACGAGCTGGTTAGGAAACAATCTAACGCCCCAAGACTAAGAAGTTGGTACCGTAGAATACCGCGCATCTGCCCATTCCCACTAAGCGCCCATACCCAATTCTGTAAGATCTGAAAAAATATGCATAGTACATTGATTTGCAAAATTGATGACCGGACAAGCACGCATCCCCCATTTTTTCGCGATTGTCTCTAAATTTTAAGTGGCCGCTTGCCCGGTATTTTATGGCAAGTTCTTGTGGTCTTGACGGAGATTATCTTTCCGGGTGCTTGGCGGCGGATGCTCATTGTCAGACGTGTGTCTAGTGTTGTAGGGATTTAGCCTGTCGAGCCAAGTCTGGTCAAATCTTTGCGACGTCATGTTCTGCTTTCTTGATCTTTTCTTGTTTTAGTGTGGTCAAATAAACTCGGCTATTTTTGAGATTTTGTGTTGTGTTGTTTGATTTCTTATTCATTCTAGTCCCATCGTTTCAAGTTATGATGACTTTCTCCACTCTGCAATAGAGCAGCACTGTTGTGCAGTCGAACCCCGCAATAACAAAACCGCCGGAGAAGAAAACTTTTTTCATTCCCGCGAGAGTTTTGTTTTTGCACAAAATGGGCAAGTTAGCACACCTATTACTTTCCATGATGCTGTCCTTGGATTTCAGAATCATAGAAAGTGAGCTGCACGGGATACTGAACTCCTCCGCAATATCCGACTTCTTTCCGCCTTTCGCAGCTTCGGCGATGATCGCAAACTTCTCCTGAAGCGTCTAAAACTTGCGCTTTTTAACAAGAGGCGGCATCTTTCCGACAGGCCGAACAAAAGGTAGTAAAGAAGGCGCAAGCGATCTCTGCGTGCATGCGGCAGACGGCGAAATGACAGCGGGCAGCCGGCGGTGTCGTCACGCGAAATGTCACATGCCTACGTAGTTGCCAACAGATGGGCCAGAAAAGAAGACAAAATCTCATTGCTATTATTATTATTATTATACCGAATGTAAACAGCAATGACCACGCCGATGCTTGTCAGAAACGCATGTGCCCGACTTGTCGGATGAGTGTGCTGCTCCACTTTTCATACTTCTGGGTTCTCAACTGGTTCATGTGCCAAAAAAAAGTTGCAGCTCACTACCTCAAACTTCTGTAAGTGTGGGACTGCTCTTTTAAAAAAAAAGGCTCGAGGTACACCTAAGCACTTCTTATTAGTTCTGAATGCAAAAGCACGCACGCCACTCTTCGCTCCCTTCTTTCATCTGCGGCTAACAACGCGCTGACCTTGGGCGTGGAACGGTGGAGCCGCTGCCTCGCGGACATGCAGCGCCATCGGGTGAGCGATCGTTCAAACTGATGCGCAGCGGCCAATGGGAGCCTCGTCGAGGCGCGCCAGCCAATAGGACCGAAGCCGAAGATTCATCAGCTTTACTTTGCTCCTTTGGGATCGGGGAAGCTAGGTGCCATGTCTAGGCTTTTCGCGTGGTCTCATAGCTGGGAGCTGGCTACACTTGGAGAAAGGATTTAGGGTGCCGTTTTCCCGCTTCAAACTGATGATGTCGGCTAGCTCCATGAGAACCAGTTAATGCTATCGCATTAAAACCCTTCGCTATTGAGAGGGTGCTAATGCATTGAACTCTATGGACGTTCGCCGGAGCGCCAGATTTCTTCATTGCCGCGAGAACTTTGTTCTGGAGGGCTTTCGTTATTGAGGGGTTAAACTGTACACACTTCGTCAGTTCTCGAGAATATCTTTTTGGAGCCGACGTCGTGCGGCAAAGCCCCTAAACGAAGACAGGCTAGCTCAATTTAAGTGAAGGTTTATTGTCGCTTTTCTCAATTAGAGGTCATATGCTACTCAATATTTTGCCATCACAAGTTAGTTCAAGATACTGCAAGTAGTTAAGTTAAAATAAAAGTGAAAGATGGAGTTATTTAAATATTGACATGCAATTTCGCTACTTTTAGAGTTTCTGCATTAATAACAGAACTACAATAATGACTACTGTAAAATCCCGTAAGGACGCCCACCCAAAATGAAGAGATAAATGGTGAAAATCATGGGGTAGGGCTATCTTTGGAGATGCCAAAGCAAAACTTTATCAAAAATAAGTGATAAGCGCCGGACCATCGGCTACAAACCGCGTGACGCGGGAACCGATACCGCAGATCACGGACACGGCAAATTCGTGTTTCACGATACGATAAACACGCGGGAATTTGCTACAAACTCCTGCGTCACGGGAAAGAATACCGCAAGTGGCCGACGCAGCAGATTCGCGTTTCACCGTGCGAAGGACTCGCGCAGAAACTCGCCAAGAACTCGCATCTCAAGGGAACGGATACCGCATATCGCGGACGCAGCAGATTCAAGTTTCATGGAAACCCATGCGGAAACCCGCTACAATCTTGCCTGTCACGGAAACAAATACCGCAGATTGCGGACGCAACAGAATCGCATTTCATGGTGCAATATACATGCGGGAACAACTCGCACGTGTTACAGCTAAAAATCTAAATCACGCACGCAGGTCGCGGACAAAAACACTGGAATCCGCTAGGAACTCGGGAACAGATACCGCAAATTGCGAACGCAGCAGCGGGAAGAACTCACGTGTTACGCGAACCGATATCGCGCGCAGATCGCAGACAAAAACACGGGAACCCGCTATGAACTTGCTTCTCGGACACACCGGTACCGCCGATCGCGCCGTTCCCGTCTGACATCGCTTGACGTCCAACGGAAATCGGGGGTGGGCGATGTTTCGGAATTTTTATGTTACAGATATTTAGCCAAAAAAAACGGGATGCCCGACCTCTCGGGGGAGGGCGTCCTTACGGGATTTTACAATAAGCAAATATTTTTTGTATATTCGTAAGCTGGACTTTAAGAAGCACATTTTGTTATATTTTTGCAACGTTTTGCATACAGTTGTTTGTTGGTAAATAATTTGTGGAAGCGTCTCTAAAACGTGTTTCCTTATGTGTTTCGTAATACTTTTTGCATAAAATTATAATTTGAATTTTTAATATTTAGTGCGCATGTTGTAAATTGTCCATAAAAACATGAAAAAAATGTTAACTATGTCCCCGCTTCAGTGTGACATTGGTGGCTGTGCAAATTACCATAGTGAAACCTCGACCCCCCCCCCCCAAGTCCACGCCTCAAACTTCTAAATTTTATATATCGGGGAGAAATCTAGCTACGGCGTTCACACATAGCTGGATGTTCCTCCAAAGAACATGGCTTTCGTATATATTTCGTACAGAAATGTAAGAAATATGACTCGGACAGTCATTGTATGATCTGACGTGCAAAACCCTGTGCAACATTATAATTGAAACTTTTGCTCTCAACAGACTATTTCAAGAGCTTATTCATCAATCTTAACTACTTCAATGGGCAAAATACAAAAATAGTAGCCTGACTCGTTCCAAACAATGAACAAACCTGTTTCTTTGGCTTCGCTTCCCTAAAATGCACCAAACTATTTTTGAACCATGGCTCGAGCGACGCGGAACGCCCTGTACATGCGCAAGGGGATGTGGGCCAACAAACACTGGACCCGTGCACTTGCCGGTTTTTGTTTGTTTGTTTTGTTTTTGTCTCGAGATGCAAACGACCAGAAACAAAAGTTCACTCACAGGGTCCACACAGAGGGGTTCTGCTGGGGGGGCCTCCTCCTGTGGGGCAGGTGCCTGAGGCTCTGGGGGTGGCCCCGCTTTAAAACAACACAGAAAAAGTATGCACCACTGTATCTCACTGGGTTCCACAGTTTGTCGCAGGTTGAGGACGGAAGGACGAACTCTGCCCACAAGGCCCTCCACTCTTTTCAATGTAGCACAGTGAACGCTGCAGAGGAGGTGAGAGCAGGGTCATGGTGAGCAGAGCAGGGGAAAATTTAGGAAAGGGGGGACCACCACCGCCACCACCACCTCCTCCTCCTCCTCCTCCTCCTTCCCCCTTCCTCTCCCTCTCTCTCTCTCTCCCCCCAAGCCTGATCCATAAATCCGCCCCTGGAGCAGACGGCTTAGTGAGAGAGGTTAGCCCTGCTATTTTTACCGTGCAACAAATTATATAGAGCTATTTAGACAGAAAGGGGCCATAGGTACCACAGTTGCCTCTAACTGCGAGGCACTAAAGAAACGAGTTTTGACCCTCTTCTGCTGCAGGAGAACCGTCTGAAACACATAACTCTGTCCTCGGTTGATAGAGGAATTGATTTTTCACAACTGATAGGCATCGTAGGGGAAGCGTTGAAAGATAATCAGCAGCGACGGCACGAGACAGCCAATTGGACCATCGAAAAAGCTAACACCGAGATTATGAAGCAGTGTCCCGTGATAGCATTGTAAACAAATGAAGTGGTAACGACAGCAAAAAAATATGTTTGCAAGAAAGGAGTCGTTGCAAATGCAGAGGTGCTGCCGCTGCTATTGTCATGCCGGAAGTCTTAACGGAAGACGTGACATTGTTCCTGAAATTCGAGTCTGGAATGTTGTGCATAGTAAAGGGCTGTCCAGACAGGACACTTCAGAAATCGTGAGGCAACACTAATTCGTAAAAAATTGTGGAAGTTGAAGCGTTCGGCAGTTTGGCAGTCTGAGGTCTGTTTGAACGCCACTCAGCAAACATCCCGATTTTCCTCCTCGCTTCCTCCGCATTTCGGTGATCTCGGTGCTCGTCAGACTTGACGTCACATGCCACCGGCCAATGCTGTCCATCTGTTTTGCTAAGCCCTCATATACTTGGCATGTTCCAAAATTTACCCCATCTTACTCCAGGGTAAGGGTTTTGTACCTTTGCATTCGAAAACCTACCCATGCCCAGCGTCGCTCTGTCTGTGTTACCACGTGACACGACCCACCAGAGTAGCTCGGATCTATTCGGGTAAGATTTTAAACCCCACAGCCCTTCCCTTTCCCGTTTTCGGGACCTGAAGAGCAGCAGAGGCTTTGAGCGAATGACCGACAGCCAACAAAGCTCATGAGTGGCTGTTTGGACCCACGTGACGAGCATGCTCAAAGCCCCCATGGCGGACACGGGCAAAATTTGATAGAACTTTTTCCCTGGCAAACAAAAAAAAGGTCGGAAGCGGAACGCTGCGCGACTTATGTCAGAATCCTGTCGCCTCACGATTTCTGACGCATCCTGTTTGGACGAGCCTTAAGAGGCGAGCTGTAATACCTAGGACTGGGCATCAATCAAACATTTGAACCCGATTGATCGCTACCCTTTAGTCGACTCATTAATTGATTCATCGGTTTCATTCATGCTAATAGTTTAAAAAAAAGTCAAAATAACATTTTTTTTGCCTTTGCTGAATTTGCAATAAATGGTGCAATGTACAATTTCAGATTTTAGATAAACCTTGTGTGTGGTTGAGAACAGCCGTAAGACACCCACACTCGCAAATTATTACTTCAGCCGTCAATGTTCTCCAGCCATAGCGAACTCTTGATTGTTTGCAATAGTCTCTGCTGTGCTAAACGAACACTCGCACGGCATTGTGGTGGCTGGGGCACTTACGACCTTCTTCACCTTGTTTGGAGTTACTAATGTCGCCCCTACAGTTTACTTCAGGTGATGTACTGCATAGCTAAAGTATTAAATTTTACTGTTTTTGTTCGTCCAAATTTAACCAGGTAACCGGTTAAAAAAAATTATAAAGTATTAATAGGTTAGTCGGCAAGGTAATCAATCAGGTAGAAAGAATTAGAGTAAACCTCCTCACCTTCCTCCAAGTCTGCACTGACGAAGTTTGCGGGGAACAAGCCCTCTCCACGGTGGTTCGAACCCTTCCACCAGTTGGGGTCACTGCAACGTGCATGCGTGTTCAAAGGAACAAACTGTGTCACATTGCGAACCACAGTTGCACCAGAACAAACTGTGCAACAACAAGCTTTCTAGGTTTCATCATTAATCTTGTTTCATTATTCTGTATGCCTAAAGGATGCGAGGGAATTTATTTTGCCTTTCTCGACATGAGCTCCTTGGGGGCTGTACGCCAGCATTACAGTGCCATGTGCAAAATGAAAAGTTGATGCAACTTCTAGGAAAATCTTTTGAGCATATAGTTTTTGTGATCACACTGAAATAGCGTAAATTATTTTTGCATGCCATTAACTTCCTACTTATAGCATATATTGCTACGTTCCATTTCTTACCTACTAGTGTAGACCGCTGCTGCTTGCACGAACCTGTCTGGATTTAGTCTTCACCATTCACACACTCTTATACAAATGAGAAGCTACATGATGCCACAGACTCCTGCCAGTTGCTTTGAGAGCATTGTACACTAAAAAAAAGTGTAATATACCAGCACAAAGAAACTTGCATGTGTTCAAATTCATTCTAACCTGTCACATGTTTTCAGAACATGTTAACTGGCATAATCAGTTTTACATACAACTCCAAAATGAAACATTACTTTTCAAGTTAAATAGAATGCACCACAAAGAAACATTTAATTAATTTTGTCTGCAATCCTTCCGATTTAAAATCATTCCCATTTGTCAATGCAACACAGACACAGTGAGCTTACGAGTACACTGGCATGCAAAGGTTTGTGAGGCCCTATTCTTTCTCAAAGGATGCGACGAACTACAGTCACTCATAGGATGAGAACTGCATTGAAGGTAGGAGGCTCACGCTGGCAACGGGACAACCGAAAGACCTCCCTGCCGTTCTCGTTCTGCAAGGGACTATGGACTAGGGTACAAAGGAAGCACAGCAGCCCTGGGGCGTCTGCTTGCTGTCAGTACACGCCGAACAGCGCGGCCACTTCTACGAGGGTACGGGGACGCGAGCAAGCGCAAACAGAATTACCCCAGTGTCAATTTGTTTTTGCCAGTGTAGCTTGCTAAAAAGCGAAGGGACTCGCCTGTCGTCCAGAACGAGCAGCAGCTCTCCAGCCTTGAAGGTCAGCTCGTTGTCTTCGGCCGCCTCGAAGTCATACAACGCCCGTACCTTGCGCGGTTCTCTCGCTGCCGCCACGGGAGCTTCGAACCCGGAAGCGTCCGGAGACGAAGCACGTGGATACAGGCTCTTGGCGGGGGACTCGCGCAGAGACAGCTCAATGGCTGCACAAATAAATGCAAATGCAAAAGGTGGAGCCAATGCACTTCCTGAGGTCGTGCTGCACGCTTCAGGGTGCTATCCACACATTCCAGGAACGAAATTACCCCTAGTATACTCTGAAAAAAATTACTAGGCAGGGTTATCGGGGCACGAGCCTGTCCTCCGCTTTTCTTTACATGAATCTACATGGGGAAATAAGTTTTGGAGGTTTGCACGCTGAACCCGGAGGGTATCTTGGCTTGCGCTAGCAAAGGACAGGGGATTGGTCTGAACCAAAGCAACTGAATACACAATCTCAGAGTATAGGCACTCGATTCCCCAATTTTCTTGTGGGAGCCGCGATTTTGGCAACCAGTGCATAGTGGGCGAAATGGGCGATCGTTATGATGAGAAAACGCGACTTCTCGAGTTGTACATAAGGTGTCGGGAAGCGCAGGCAATATGGTTCTGCTCTGTAGCGGACTGTTCCAAGATTTTTGGAGGACGGAAAACCACTTCCAGTGATTTCAGATGAGGATTCTGGTAACTGGAAACATTGATTTAAAGTGTGAAGATGGCCATGAAGCGTATCTTCATGGCCATCTTCACACTATGAAGCGTATCTTATTTAGGGTCTCTTTGGCCAGGAATACAACATGCTTTTTCCTTCACTCCGAGTACATTTAATCGAAGTTCCTCTAACTTTACTTGGAGTACAAAATATACCAGCAACTTTGTACTTCACTTGCTATTTCTCGGCCACACCGAGAAACACCAAACAAAGCCAGTGCTGCACGAGTACCGCTGTACCGCTAAAGGCTTTGGATTAGTGACTTCATGGATAACTTGTGAAAAAAACAAAAGCATAGCAGAGGCAAAAATCTAAAATCTGCAAATGGATGGAGTGTCCCAGGAGCACCGAAGCACAGCAAACAAAGCGCTCTGCGGTATTTGTCATTCTTTCACTAGTCCGTCATTTTTTAGTGCTCTTATTCACTTTGTAGCACCTATTTAGCTGCACCAAGGTCGATATCGAGCCCGTCGGAGTGCATCATACATGGTGAAAATTCAACAGCACTCAAAAATAAAGACCCACACACAACTGTCAGCATGGCACATAGTGTCGTGCGAGTGCCTTTATTTAGTCTGTTTTTTAATTGCTGCTGTATTTTCATCTTCACCATGCCAGCACATGCTGGCCTGTCTCCATTACGTTGAGGGCAAAGCGGCTCTTTCACATGCAACAGGGTCAACGCAACGGAAATAGGGTACACTCTGTACGCCCCAAGAAAACTACTAAACCTAGGTGAAAAAAAATATATTGTTTTCCTACCTGGTTTTTGTTTAAAAAAAAATGTTTGTAGGAAAAATATATATATATATTTTTTTTTTGCCCAATATTTATGTTACATTTTGAATTTTTCGCTTAGCAGGCAAAACAGAATCTGTACCCCTGTGGGATGATGATAGCGTTTGTACCCACCGAGAGTTTACTCTGAAATCCAACTAACCAGGTAGAACCAAAAATATTTTTTTCTAGGTTTAGTGTATTTTTAAGCTGGCAAAGCAGTGGAAACAGCCTGCTCGCTGGACCACTCAACTGCCCCCCTTTCATCACCTGACCCCCCCCCACTGCACGTGCATATGGGCAGGGGCGTGATCGTGCGGCAAAGATGGGCGTGTGACTGGTTCAGCGAGCACGTCAGCTTCCACTGCACTGCCAGCTTGGGGGTGAACGGAGTGTGGGGTCGAGCTCACCTCTGGCAAGGTCTTGTTCTTCCTGGTGTTGTCTTCCGGCGGCCGGAGGCGCTCCGTCGGGCTGAGATGTTTCCTGAGCCTACAGCAAAGCGTGCACCTTGAGAACAACGCTCGTTCGGGAACACCCCCTCGAAGGCTCACCTGCCCCTCGAGGCCACCAAAGTCCACGCCGTCCCCCCGCAGCTTTGAGTACAGCGACGGAATGAGGCTGCACAGAACGCATACAGACTTGAACTCGATGCACGCACAATACACACAGACATTGGCATCAAACACCATATCCGCACAAGCTTGCATCGCGAAAGGTCTTCAAAACGCAGACACTTCACTCCGACATCAACAGTTCCATAGGCACTTGTGTTGTGTATTTAATAGAGAGGCTCATGGTACCCCGATGACACGTCCGTGGGTCTACAGTGCTCATTTAGCTTGTATCTATTTTCACATATTATTTTCGCTTCCTCTACTTATTTTTTGCAATGCGTACACCACTGAGAACAAGAGCTGTTTGTGGGCCCCGCAAACAGAACAATAAGCAGAATACAGCCACGTGCTTTCACCCATATTTACACCCATTTAACGTCGCCTTTTCATACGAAGAGTCCAAGCCTATATTCTTTTCTGTGTGGCACACAAAGAACCAATTGCCGTAATTTACAGAACGAGAAGAGTAAACGGTGAGGCACGGAAGTGACTGTACGGAAGTGGTGCCAAATCGCAAACTGGTGCCAGTAGTGTTGTGGTGAATGCTCGTAGAGTCACATTTCAAAAAGAAATGTACGGCGGTATCAAAGAATTCATTGCTGATGTGACTATTATTCTCAATACTAGTATGTACATGCTTCGCAACATACCTCAGCTGGGGATCCTTTGCAAAGTCCTCCTGTGCCCACTTGCGGAGCAAGCCCTTCATTTTTTCCACAACGCGGGGATGACCCTGAAATCGGACAACAAACATTAGAGCATAGACGTCATCAAAGACAACAAATCTTTACAATCTTATTATTAATGTCTTGGCAACCCTGTCCTTGCCCACACACTAATGATCCCAGATTAAGCCACAAAACACTGCTGCCACTAAGACGTTCCATCCTGCGCTTGCCCACTTGCCTGCGTATGCTCAGTCGCCTCTGTCACCTGCTACGGCTGGTTCTATTGGGGAGGGGATCGAACAGTCACGCCACTAGCGGCATGCTGCAGCTCTGTGGACAACAAACCTCATTTTGTTGTTTGTTGTTGATCAGAGAAATCGAAGATGACGATTCGAAGGCCGCTCCTTGTGCGTCCAAAGCACTGATCAAAGCGAAGCGCTCGTGCCCAGACCATGCTAGGCGAAGTTCAATTTCTTTGTTTTGCTGTGTTAGTAAACACCGTGCTGTGTGGACAACAAGCTCAGCAAAGCGCCCCCTATAGTGCGATCTCCTGCCCAATAGACCTGTTTACTGTTTACAAAAACAAGCTGTTTCTTGGCCCCCCCCCCCTCCCCCCTCCCTCTTCCCCTTCTTCTCAAGAGACTTCCGGTCATTCTGTTTCGGCACGCTTTCTGAGCCAGCTGATGTAAACATTTCTAGGACAATCAAGTTTTACAGAAATCATAAAGTTGGGGTTCTAGCAAGGACCTTCTGCTGGGCTATAAAACAGATAAAAGCCAACTGGTTGTCTTACAAGAGTATTAAAAAATCTCCAACAAATCTATTGCTAACCGGTCCTTTAGCTAATCACCTGGAGATCTGGTCATAAAATATTTCATGAACTTTGCAAGAAGCAGCGCTATGGTGGGGGTTGTTCGTCCTCTGATTTGACCAGATGTTGGCGGGGACGTGAATTGCCAACAGCGCCTCCTGGCGCTTTCAATAAAAGAGTCTATAGACCTTTTCTACGCAGGTGCCGCCATCTTGAACCGCAGAACTTCCGGTATGTGGGGGAAAACATTGTTTTGAGCTTGCCACATAAAGCTCACGGTGTAATTGCGACCAATACCATTCCTGTCTTGCCTTTTCTATATATTTTACTTGTTCCAGGTTGTAATGCCTTTCTTTTTTTTTCAACCTACATACCGGATTTGTCGACTACGTGGCTGGAGACAAGGGTAAATGAAAAAGGTCTATGCAGCCAGTTCTTGGTTGCATAGACCTTGGCTGTTATGGTGCGCGCCACAGATGGCACTGCTGGCTTTGCAAGAGGACTTGTGCATTAACGGCACACCTCATTTTATCACAGATGTCCTCGTATTCACGAATCAACGATCTTGCATGCCAGTTTTGTGACCCTGGTCAAGTTAAGAGAGGCACACCTTTGAAGCTTAAAAGAACAAGAATGTTGATTGTCTACCAGAAACAGGCACCTGCGTGGGTTTCAAGAACAAACTTGTTGACCAAAGGACTGATCTATGAATCTACAAAGCATTAGTGGTATTGATCGCCGTGCCATGTCTCACCTTGGAAAGCAGTTTCTTGCACTCGGATTCAAACTCCCGGGAACACACCTCCAGGTGGAAGATCTTGCCGCAGTTCTTCACGCATGCATCCAGTAGCTGCATGTAGCACACATTCATATTCATGCTGAGCTCATTAACTGCTAGGTATATTAATTTATTTCAGTAGCCTCAAGGCCCAAAGGTGTTATATAAGGGAGTGGGACAAACCAAAATAGTATACAATCAGGAATATACAAACACTATAAGCCAAGTACTAAAAACATAAAAACATTTTTAAAAATTTAAAGAAGTTATGAAATTAGAGTTATAATATTAATGTAAGTAAGCGATCACCACATTTATAAATAAATCATAGGATGGTATGTTTACTAAATGTGCAGCAAGGTGGTTCCACTCTCAGAGCATGTTCTGGGGAGGAAGGAGTTGTAATAAGCTGGAGTGACGAAATGAGAAATTCCAACTTTATATCGATATGCACGGTGAAGTGAAAGCTGGATTTAATACAAGTTTGTCTTTCAGTCAAGTATTGGAATGATAAATATTATGGAAAAGACACAGACGAGATATATTTCGGCATAATGAAAGGGGAGGAGTGACAAATTAGTGATAAATTAGTTTTCATAGTCGAGACACTAGCTGTGGGATGAGAGTGAATATAAAACGGCTGCCGAACTTCTGTCGGGCCTCAAGGTCAGCCACGCGAGCTGCGAGACCTGGATCCCAGATCGCTGCAGCATGGTCAAGTTTGGAATAGACAAGAGTTTTAATTAGAAGTTTTGAAGCTAGGTTGGGCTAATTTAAAATTTCTCCTCGAGTAACCAAGCATAGAATTAGTGTTAGTGATAACGTGATCGGTATGCGTTTTCCATGACATGTTAAAAGTGATGTTAACACCAAGGTACTTGTAGCAGGTTACAGAATCAAGAGCAATATCAGAAATTGAGTAAATGAAAAAGATTCTACGAGAAATTTTCATAACTTTACATTTGTTAGTATTAAGAGACATTTGTCACAAGTCACACCGTTCAACTACAGCTTGCAAGTTATTACGAAGGAGTACAATGTTAGTATAATTAGTAAATTTACGATAAATTATGCAATCATCAGCAAAGGGGCCGATAAATGAAGACACACACAATGGCAAGTCATTTACGGAAATTTAAAAAAAGTAAGGGCCCTAAAATAGGCCCTTATGGAACATGAAAGGTGTCAAGTTGCCGAGAAGAATTCACATTGTCAGCAGTAACAAACTGAGAATGATTAGTTAAAAAACATGTAATCCAGGACAGCACATTAGTATCATGGTTAAGTTGACCGAGTTCAAAAAGTAAATGTTTATAAAGAACTTTATTGAAGGCTTTGCAAAAATTGAACAAGAAGCAGTCAATCTGGGATCCATGGTCAAGTATGGAGAGCAGATTATAGTGAAGGTTAGTATTAGAGTTTCACAAGAAAGGGACTTACGAAAGTCATGTTGCGAAAGGGGGAAAAGGAAGAATGAGAGTCCAAGTAGTCAATCAAATGAGCAAACATTATGTGCTCTAAAAGTTTGCTAGGTGTGCTGATCAAGGAAATGTGGCGGTAGAGTATGCAGACTTTAGGTTTCGTCCGAATGTGTTGATCACGAGAGATATGATGCTTTAGTTTCTTAATGCCATAGTATTTTCACAACCCTAAATAAAAAGATATAAAACATTCCAGCCTCAAAGCATAATATAGAACAGGAAGTCTCAAACTTTTCCCCCTCAAGGAATGCCCATCTCTCTTGAATGGCAGCCAAGGAACCCAACATGAACTCGGCATTGATGCACTAAAGCACTGCAGAAGCCTACAGACCTTGTAAAGATAAAGGCACATACTGCAAACAATGTAATTTTTGCGAGAAAAAATTTTTGCGAATCACCTAGAATTTGTAAAAAATAGTTCCCACAAACAATTTTTGGTAAAATGTGAACCCATTGGAATCTGTAATGAGATCCCACCGCGTCGCGAAAATTAAAACCTGCGGATTATTTCAAAACTTTAGCTTTTATATAAATCGTGTAATATTGAGCCGGAAAAAAATATGTCATTTACAGTACCTAGTTATGCATCCAATAGATGGCTCAGACCTTCTGAAATACTGCTCAGACTGGGAGAACACTTTACTTGAGGGCAGGAACAGCCGAGGAAACTTAAAAGCTCGGGCAACGCCCTCAGTTTTTAGGAACCCGGTTTGAGAACCCATAGAAAGGACAGATATCGCCCCTGTGCAGAAGCACTCGTTAACGGGTTGTTACAGAAATATGTGGAAGTTGGGCCGGGTTGAATGACATTCCCTGAAAAATACAAGCTGGCAAGAGTCCAAAAGGTTTGTTGAAATTTCCCAGATCGCCTACACTTTCAATGACGCAAATTGCATCAACTATTTTCTGCTACACTGTCAAAGCTTACGTAGCTTACGCAATGCTGCATCCCTGCACTCCTGCGGGAACATGCGACTTGGTCTTGCATCTCATTCGTATGCACTCGTGCAACTAGCTTTATGTAAGCTATGCTAGTCTTGACAATGTAGCACAAAACATCTGACGCTGAGCACAGTGAGGAAGTCAGGTCAGAGAGAAGACGCGGGCGCATCTCCACTTACCACGAGAGCCTGCAGCGCCACCTGTGGAATGGTGTGGTTCATGCGGCGCGTGATGCATTGCAGACAGTCACGGGGTCCTCCCGGGACCGTGCCCACTCGGTCACAGATGTCCAAGATGAGGGCCCAGTCCTCGGATGTGTTCCGCTCGCTGGTCGCTTTGTCTGCATCGTCATGCAGAGAGAGCCGGAGTTTTCCGAATCAAGAGTGGGCTGTGATAAACAACAGCCATCTTGCTCTTTTCTGTTGCTCAGTAAACTAAAACTGTCTTTAAAAAAAACAGCCTTGACTGGGGATATCAACATACTCAATGCTGGATGGATGGATGCTCATGTCTGTACCCTTTATGGCAAGCAGTAGCTTGCACCACTTAGCCTAGAAACCAAAAGTATGATTTCTCCCGTTGCTCTTCTAAGCCAATTTGCTTCCCCTCTGTATTTTTGTAACTATCACCAGGCAGTGTGGGGTCTCGCCAGGATGACTTGGGGGATTGGACAAAAAAAAACAACTAAAATACCCCCCCCCCCCCCCCCCTGGCGAAGGAGTCGTTTTTCTCTGGTCAAACCCATTCGGCGTTACCCCAACACTGGGCCCACCGGGAAAAAGGGTAGAGAATCTTGGCCGAAGCAATGCAAGAAAGAGTTAAATTTTTCTTTGTCCTGACTGTCCCCAGCTGTGCAAGTTTTACTTGATTCAATTTTCCCTGGATAATTTCCGACAATCTTCAAACATCCTCTTTGTAATCATAATCCTTTGCTCCTCATCCTTCTATCCTCGCCAGCAAAACCCAGCGCCCCTGCCAGATCCATTACCCCTTCAGGAAGGGCAGGGCAAAGCCCCATACAGTTCAAAACCAAATGCTATATTGTCTCGTCCTCAATATGGCATACAGCAAATAATGTGTCTATCTCTTGAAATTTATCCCTATACATCTTTTTTCTTAAAGCTTTCGTTCTCGCCTCAAACAGCGAAGAACTTCCAGATCGTTCCTACCTTACAACAGGGTTGCATCTCCGCAGAAAGACCACCGGCCCAGCGTACTCAAGCCTTGCTGTGCGACACTACTTCAACTCTACAAAACGTTTCAAGGCAGACACTGCAAAGCCTACAAGCTACCAGTCTGTGCTCTTGCCGCAACAAAGTGCACCGTGCTCGCTTCTCGGTTTCATGCCCTTGTATTTCAATGTCACTAATCGCAATGGGTTCCCTAACGAATGTGTAGGATGTGGGACATACTTTATACAGACAGTCAACTACAGTCTATTTCACCTAACGGTGGACAGCATCGGACGCTACTAACAGAGAGAAATCTGTTTTAGTATAGTTATTGTTATTTGATATTAAGTTAGGTTAGCGTCAGAATACACTGTAAAACTAAATAAACGCATATGAAGCCTTACTTCGACACTCATCGGCAGAGACATATACCGACAACAACAAACGCCGACGAGAAAGCAGGCGATTTCGTTTTCCAAGACCTCGGGCGAGCGAAGGACAAGGATGAACGCCTAGCAAACACACACGCACGCAGATATGACTCACCGTCACTGCTCTCGAAAACACCGCTCAAACAGAACGAAAATGATTAGGAGAAACGATATGTTTAGAGTACTCATGCGTCACACGTGCACCAGATTGGGTGCTTGTTGCGTCGAGGAAGTTTTGATAGCATGACGCATGAACCAAGCTGTCGTGTGACCGCTAGCATTGCACTTACCGCAATGATACTACGGTCACAGTGAGCACATTCCGTGTGCCTAGATAAGAATGCCGAACTTCGAGGACCATTTACGGTGACAGTGGCTGTCGGGTCAAGTAAATGAAAGAAACGAGGAATTCACGAGTCTCACCAACGTCTTGTTGGAAAGGCGAGTTGTTTCCTAAGAAAGGCATGGTCGTGCGGGTCTGCGTCGCTTTCAATTGAACATAATATTACCGCCGGTGAGGGCTGTGTTGTGGAACTCGGTGTAATTGACACAAATCTGCGTCCGATGACCGATAGCTTCTTCTTCACCGCCTCCCACTATTCGATGTTGATCTTGAGGGCAGCCACCTGACTTGCCCTGGCTCCTGGCTGCTTCGACGACTCATTCAACCTGACGTCACTGGTTTATACATATAAAAATGGACATATGCAAGGTGATGCAAGGGGATTGTGCTACTTGAATGTAGATGGCGCTTAACTCCCTCCAATTGCATACGGGGGTTAACCCAACAGTTAATCGCGCTTCTGATAGAGGGCGCCTCATGCGCGGCGACTGCGGGCGACTGGAAGCCGAGGCGCTCGTTTGAAAAACATCAGGTTCTTTATAAATTTGACTGTTTAGATAAATCGGATAAATAAGATTTGTTGTTAACATCGAAATCTTGGGAGGTGACCCTTTAAAAAAAAAAATTACAGACGCAAAAATTAACTCGTATCGCCGAATGCTCATTCTCCGACCAAATGTATTGTATACATGCCTTGCAAGTGACGTCACCCTAGGGAACATCTAGGGAAGGACGGGGCCCCGCACCATACTGGTGGTTGACTTCACGCCGCGCGGATGCGCTTACCAAGGCGTAGGATGCTGCTAACGGCCCGGGCATGCGTTAACATGCACCATATTTTCAACAAAGGTACTGTGAACTTAGAAAAACGTGTTGAGCTCACGATGATGACGTTTATCCAGTACGTGCGGAAGTTTTCGGCTTAGGTGCGATTGCGCTTCGAGCAGAAAGTTTCGAAATGCCGCCGGCGAAGTTTTGACGCAAAGTGATATGCCGTGTCGCCAAAAAAAGAAAAAAGCTTAATTGCGCGCTTCATAATTTGACGAGCGGCTCTAGGAGTCGCTCGTAGAAAAATTGTTACGATTTTGCGAAATACTGGTAAACAACGCCATGTTACTCTCATAATCTTAACCCTGGGACAGGGATAAATCAAATAACGGACAAGAAACTCTCATTGTCTTAGGGTTTATATTATTATGTTTCCTAACTGGCTCGCCTGCATACTTTCGCTCCTTGCAAAGGTTATCGTATGGCGGACGGCACAAACCGATGACCCGGCGGCTCGGCGAGCTTGCACATGGGGACCACCGATCGCCGTCGGGCCGGGCTCGCGGCGCAATTCTCGCCCGGATTCGGCCGGGAGCCCTGAAGGTGCGCTCGAAGCGCGAAAACGGCGTTATGCAACGAAGGTCAAAGGCTATATACACCACGAACGAGCAAAAGCCGATACAAAGGCGTGCGCGAACGTAAACAACGGTAGAAAAGTGTCGCCGTTCGCCACTATGAAACGCGTCCCGCAAACTCGATAATCCGCGGCCGCATCTTTTTCCTGCCGCTCGTAGTTTCTCTAACTTGACGTCTACTCTGTCTCGTGGTGCATGATGCCGAAACGATCGGACGATCGTCGGGATACGGGGTAATTACTAAAGCCGAGCGCGGCGCAGTTTACCATTGCTCTCGCTGCGAAGGGCCGTCGAGTCAACCACCAGCATGGTAGATACCGGTGTTCGACGTCATGATGTGACGTAGGTGCAAGGCATGTATTGTATTGTATCGCATTGCAGGGTGATTTCAGATAAGATCGACCAAAGGGAGGCTGGCCGACATTTTTAAATCAACTGATGCTTTTACATGCTATTGTCTAGTGTCTGGTATAAACGAATCCAAACTTAGTTTTGACCAGAAAAAAAATTTGGGACAGGAAAAATCGTAAGGCATGAAGAGGTGGATAGTTGTATTAACGCGCACTGATGGGCACGTTTGAGAGTGAATAAGAAAAACGATAAGATTAGGAGAATTTTAATAATTTTTTGACGCAAACTATAGGTACAGCTTGCTTGTAATATAAAGCAATAATATTTATTTAAATTTTATTTTTTTATCTAAAAATTGGCCAAACATGCCTGCTCGAACAACAAGTGGCAAAATTTGGAGGCCTGTATGTCATGAAGTACTTTAATCATTATTATATAATTTGCAGATAGTATTCTACTTATATATGGCTATTATTTAAAACAAACAAATAAGGTATCCGAGTGATACGATAGTCAGGATATATTTAGGCAAACATGAAAAAAAGTCGAACAACAAAAAATTCCGATGCGAATAAAAAAGGAAAAAAAAAAACACCACCTTCGATTTTTTTTTTTAATTTGGGCACCCTGTTGTACTCTATTTCGGCATTCATTTCTATTAAAAACATGTTGCATTATTTTATTGAGAAAGAAGAAACAACTCCCCAAAGTAAGGTCCTTTCTCAAAGCCTACACTTAGCAGTGCCCTATACAATAAGCAGGGATGGGCAAAATACATGCAAATATGTATCGAAATACAAATACAAAATACTTCGTCAAAAATGTATTTAATTACAAATCTAATTACATTTCCAAAAAAAAAAAAAAAAAAAGCATTTAAGTAAAAGATACAAATACAACCAAATGTATTTGGTCTCCTCCAAATACTTTTCCAAATACATTCCTCAAAAATTGCGTCAGCGGCTTCAGGGCACCTGCAACGGGTTTCTGGGTATCTCATTTTAATTTTGCATCTCACACTCGGGAGTTAGTGTGCGAGGCTCTAGTAACGTAAAAGAAATATGATCACACACACACACACACACAAAAAAAAATGTAATCAGCTTGGACGTAATCGGTGAAAAAAGTACAGAGCTTCAATCAGGTTTTTTTGTCGATTGCACTTTGGTATAGACCAACAAAGAACCGAGACGACCAAGACGCGCAGCATTCACTACAGAATTTTTTATTGTTGCAAGTCGCACCAGTTAGGAAAATCTGGACGACCCGCGCATTTAGAATGTTCCAGGCAAAAATATGGATGGAAATCAGGCTGAAAAGCATCCCAAGTTGTCACAGGCACTTATTTAGCCAGTCTGCCTGTGAACGTCGAGTTCGTCACTATTCTTGCCCTGGACCAGCGCCGTAATCACAAAGTCACTGAACGCTTGTGCTTGATTGAGAGACACTGTATTCGGTGCAGAACGTAGTTTTCTTCCTGCACTGGACAGTGACAATGAATTTGAGGGATGTATTTTCGTCCACAAAACTGTATTTAATTACAATTGTATTTGAAATACCCGCGTATTAGTATTTAAATACACACGTCAAATACATTACCCAATTTGTAATTAAATACAAATGCAAAATACACAAAATATTTGAAATACGTATTTCAAATACTTGTATTTAATATACTGCCCATCCCTGACAATAAGTAATTAAACATGAGGAAGATACACAGAAAGGGGGACGGACAACGAAGACTTCCAACTAGCAACAACATTTATTGACCCGAAGTTTGCATATATAGGTGAAGGAGGGGAGGGTGAAAGACGCTACACTGGAAAGTGGAGAAGCGATGAGAGAGGGCGTAGAGACAGGGAAGTGAAGGACGATTCCGTGGGGTTGACATCTAATCGCTTGGAGCCGCGGAAACGAGGGACGTCAGCTCTGGCCCCAGGAAGTTTATCTCCCTCCTGGATAAGCCTATGGACGGGGACCCGAAGTTGTTGTGACTGTGGTGCATGGCGAAGGACATGCACCACAGTCACCACAGATTATTTTCATAATTACTGTCCAGCTCGCTTGCACCTTTGCATTTAATTGCATTATAATCACTGCATGATCTCTCGTCCGTATCTTGAGGCATGACCTCATATCCTTGTGGTCGAGGGAAGGCCGGCCGAACAGGGTTCGCTGCACTAAGAGGTGTGTTTGGCAATCAGATGGTAACTAATCTCCGAAGTGTCGGAGGCGGCTTTCTTGATCTCGTTTGCATGTTCCCTCACTCGTTTGCATGTTCCATGCACCACAGTCACAACAACTTCGGGTCCCCGTCCATAGGCTTATCCAGGAGGGAGATAAACTTCCTGGGGCCAGAGCTGACGTCCCTCGTTTCCGCGGCTCCAAGCGATTAGATGTCAACCCCACGGAATCGTCCTTCACTTCCCTGGCTCTACGCCCTCTCCCATCGCTTTCCCACTTTCCAGTGTAGCGTCTTTCACCCTTCCCCTCCTTCACCTATATATGCAAACTTCGGGTCAATAAATGTTGTTGCTAGCTGGAAGTCTTTGTTGTCCGTCCCCCTCTCTGTGTATCTTCCTCATATTTAATTACTGTTACCAAAACGCTCGTTTTGTACTTTATACAATAAGTTACTCTGAGTTCCAGTTTCATGAAACTAACACACATATTTTATTTTTATTCAAATGAGGCCATTGATAACTGTAGAAATTGTTCACACACTAAAATTGAGGAGAAACTACTGTGTACAAAGAGCTATCATATTACGAACTAGTGATCCGAGAAAAGATCCTGCAGCCATCGGCCACTGGGAACTTTGTTTACTTTATTTTCCTACGACACTATATGCTCCTCCCTATCTCTCCTATATCCCTGACTTATATTTCGAATCAAAACATATTCACGCATTCCCTTTTTGCGTGATTGTGTTCTGTGGATAGCAACAATCATTTCCTCTCCAAGATCACGGTTATGGCGCAATAGTTGACGGAAGCAGCAGGCGACACTCGTCTCTAGTTCTGGCAAAACGGCCGATACAATCTTTTTTCGCCTTTCCCCGCTCGCTGTCAAGGATGAGGGGGTTCGCTTTAACCAGCAAAATATGGCCGCCGATGCCTGTTTACTGAGCAGTCGTGCTTGTCGCCATCCCACTCGCTGGCTTCGCGGGCGATAATATCGGGCACAAAGAGGCACACCGAAAGAGAGCAGAACCCCTATATACTCGAGCCCCGCCTAAAAACAATAGAGCGTAAACACTGCGCCATGTTAACCTAGGAAAGGTTAACATGGCGACAGTGTTTATGTTTTAGGTAAGGAAAAGCATGGCGCGTGGTATCAGCCGGATCCTTACACAAGGTGCAAGGTGAGCCCTGAGAACCTGTCTGCTGCCCCAAAGTACTTCACGAAAGACGAGCTACAATGTTCGCGCCAAGGTCCCAACCAGAGGGACGTGATCTCTGTCATGCTCGGCGGGGAGAAAACGTTCGTGCCAAAGCGCTTCCTGACACGTTCAATCCGAGAGGCCTTTCGTGTATACAAAGAAAAGCATTCGGCGTTGGGCTAACGAAACTTTATTCCTTGGGCCCTAGATAGGTGAAATGTTTTCCACACCTTGGAAAATTATTACCT